TATATATATATATATATATATATATATATATATATATATAAACACAAAATTTAGTAGAAGAATGAATGGATTTAAACAGTAAATTTCAAACCCACCTATTTTTCAACTCAAAACTGCGCATTGGGAGGTGGAAACTAGGTTTCACAGCTGCTTGTACTGGCTTCCAACATGAGGTCCTGATTCATATAGACAAATATTTAACATCAACCATACCGAAATTTGGAAATAGTGATATTTTCTGCAGTGCTATCAGGACCTACTAACCTATATATGTGTGTGTGACACTGACAAATCCATATTGCAGCTAAAATACCAAATAGAATACTAATTTGAAAAGAATAAGCATTAACCTTAACCATAAAAAAAGTATAAAACAGTCACTCACAAACAAGGAGTCAGAGACATAGGGCACACAGCATCCATTTCACTCTAGTTAATCATTTTACTACCTTTCATTACACCATATAAATCATTTTACTACCTTTCATTATGCCAAACAAACAAACATTCTCTAATATGAAGTATGAACTAGGAAGAGGTGACCAAGAGGCATAATTGTTTAGCCAAGTTTACAAGCAGTATGGGGCAACACTTGTAATAAATCCATACATTAAAATTTAAAGAGGAGAAAAAACTCCCATTTCATTACTGTCTTATGTCTCTAAAACTCATTCTGTTTCTCATAATCCATCATTTGCACATATGGATAGATCGAATCATTGAAAGGCTATTACTATAAAAGCACAATAATATGGTCAGTATTTTGAAGACTAAATAATTTATATTACACATAAATGTTCCAAATAAAAAATATTACAGAGTGAAAAGATAAGTAGTGTAATCATTTTCCAATTTCATGTCGTTTATTATTATGTAATTATAGTAATAGTAAATCCTTGTATTCCTGGCTCTTATCATACAAATAATATTCTCCGCTGCGTAATTGACACATTCCATCATGTCTCTCATGTCTTTTCCCTCTCAATAAGTAAAATAAGTATAAGCTTCCAAGTGGATGATGCTACAACTGCTACAAGGGTGACCAAAGATGGTAAAAATATAAAAGAAAAAAAGGACAATCTAAACTGGTGCTACAATTGCTTCTAGGGGTAATCAATGATAGGTAGAACAAAATGACGACTTAGACAAACACACACACACAAAAAAAAAATGATTTTATTCCTCGATCTCTCATTGATTTTCACTTTTAGTTCTGAACAATTGTTTTTTTACTTGTTTTAACTTCTGAACTTTCATCGATTTTCACTTTTAGTCCTGAACTTTCCTCCTGATAACATTTTTGGTCTAAAGTCAAGATTTTTTTGTTCATGAGGAAAATTTTAAGGTGTAAAACAAAAAAAAAATTGTTCAAGGACTAAAAGTGAAAATTAAAAAAAGTTGGTGAATATAAAATTTAACGCAACAAAAAAAAATATAGAAAGAAACAAAAAGGTGACTAACAGAAAAAAGGCAGATGCAATCACCAAAAGAGATAGTATGTGCAAAACAGAGGATTGGTATAGCTGGAAACAACACTGGGTGTTGCTGGTTTGAGCTGAAACAGTTGGCAGCGTGGTGCATGTTGCATGAACAATGGTTTGAATTAGATACCAAACAAGGTTTTAGAACTCATCACATGTAGTGACTACTAGGGTCTAAATTCCAAAGGGTGGATCCACCATTCAGTAAATTGAAGTGCCTCATGAACCTACCCCAGTTCAATCAAAGCAATGAAAGAAACCTAGAAATTGATGGTCAACAAGCACAACACTGTAATGCAAATGGAAGCCCTTTCTTTGACATGCAGATTGAGTGAAACGAATAAAAATTGATGAGAATGAACCTTGTGTTTGTATGATTGGAGACATTGGAGGGGCAAACGGTAAACGCAGTTCCTCTGAAGCAGAGAGTCTTGAGCATGGCCATGAGATGGCAGCTGAGAAAAGGATCGGAATCGGAGAAGGGTAAAACGGCGTCGTCTGGAGAGAGAGAGAGAGAGAATAGACAAATCGCAGCGAAGAAGACTCTGCTTTCAGTGTGCGGACTGGAAAAACATACTGATCACTTTCTAAACTAAGTATCTACTTTCTAAACACAATCTCACACCTTTTTTTTAATATATTTTTATTATTAATTAAGATTAAATATGTTTTTAATTTCTCAATAAATTTTATATAATTTACTCTCTGAATTTTTTTTATAACAAAAAAGTTCATGTCTAAGATCAAAATGCAAATTACAAGAATAATTTTAAGACTAAAATTAATAAAATAAATTGCCTAAAGATTAAAAATTAAACTCAATAAAATTTTAAATATTAAATTAAAAATATGTATAATCATATTAGTTATTAATGACTAAAATCCTCATTCTATCTTAATCTCGAATCAGAATAAATTTAGCTCACATTTTTTTTTAATAATTCAAATAATTGAAAATAAAAGAAAGTACAGGGAGTATTTCAAGTCATTACAAAAATAACACATGTGATATTTGTACTATGTACCACTAAAAATATTGTTCCAAAACTAGGAACATAAGCTAGTCCATCACATCCAAACTCACAACTTTGAGATAGAAATTGCAAAATCAGATTTCTCTAGTAGTCTCATTTACCACTTGAATACATTTACCTAGGTGAGGCAAGCTGTTGGATTCATGGACCAAGAAGCAAAGTCATACCTAAAATCTTTATGCCTTGTCCTTAACCAGTTCTAGGTTCTAATTTTAACCAAATTTACCATCTCCAATACAAATATTTAAGTGGAAGAAAAGACTACTTCATTTCTAACCAACCACACTATCCATATGATGGCTAACCAAATAGATATTCAACAATCCTTTTTTCCGAGAGTTACATAAAGAAAGACCAGAGAATTGTTCCAAGTACATTGCACAATTATTATGCATAACTATGCTAATACCTAACCAGTTAAAATAATCCATCCAAACTCGATAAACTACATGACACTCAAAGAACATATGTGATCTAGTCTCCATGTGACCCGCGTAGCGAGGACATTCAACTTGAGAACTGTCCAAAATGCCTCTAATAAACAAATTGTGTTTAGTAGCAACTCGGTTAAAAATTACCTTCCAAGCAAAAGTTGTAACCTTTGTTGGAACTACCTGTGATCATACTTTTAATGAGGGTGTTTTTAGTTATTTTATTTAACATAATGAGAATTTTTTATAACGTTATTAAAATACGTTTTCACTTTTTATAGTTTTACTTAATTAATCTTTTTTATTTTTATAGTTTAAAATTGAAATTTTATTTTTTATATTTATCTTTATTAATTCTTTTGAGTCTTTTTAGTTTTAAATGCATGTACATTTTTATTTAAATATGTCCCATAAAATTTAATACTAACTTATAATAAAATTCAATTAATAAAAATAATATTTAAAAATATATCTTATTAATATTTTATTTTAATTATGAAAATATGTTATTTACACAAAAATAATATTATATATTATTTTTGTGTTTATATTTCATTATTTACTAGTATTTTAGAGTGTGTATTTTACATCATAAATATTTATTATATATAATTAAAATTTATAATAAATTATATATAAATAAATATTATATTTGAAAATATAAATTATATTTAGAATTAATATAAATTATATTTAGAATTAATATAAACAGATATTTTTAATATATAAATTATACTTTATATTTAAGATAAATAAATATATTATTTTAATTATTGATATCTTATTTTAATAATATTAAAATTTTAATTTATAAGTAAATTATATAAAATGAAATTAGATAAATAGTTAAAATACTCTTTCAAAACACTTTTATTAAAAAATAATTTCTATAAATATTTTCAAATAACATGGTTGCATATAATATATAAAAGTTTATTATAATATTTATGTTTATCAGAGTACACAAAATTTTACATGTTTAATTAAAAATATATATATTTCTGCTTGTTGTTAATGTTGAGGTGTTAATAATAAGAACTACTTTTCTGAGAAAAAAAATGTTTCTATAACGAACACATATATTTAAGTTAGTATAAAGTTATATTTTTAAAAATTTTCAATTTTCATATTTAATAACTTAAATATTAGATCCAATCTTCAGTAAGCATTTCCAACAAACTTATTTAATTATTTATAGTATATAAAGAATAAAATGTGAATCGCATGGATTATCTTTTAATATTTTTTAAGCACTGTTCCGTTGTCATGTTTTGTAGGATTTGAATAAGTTGGCGATGCCGACGAAGCCCGACACGGGCTCACGAACCCACGTCAACTTTGTAATTTAGTTAAAACTCTTTGTAATTTAAATTTTTTATGTATAAATTAATTTTATAAATTTTTTAAAAAATAAATATTATTTGATATTTTATTTTATTAATTTAAATTAATATGTATTCATAAAAATATTTTATACATTGATTTTGAATTTATAAAATGAAATATCAAATAATTTTAAATTTTTTTTAAAATTTGTAGGCTTCATATTTATATTAAAAACTTAAAATTTAATTATTGGATTGTTAAAATTTGATATAGAACATGAGTTATTAAATTAAATAAATCTATCTAAACTTATTTATGGAATAAATGGATCTCTCTCTCTCTCTCTCTCTCTCTCTCTCTCTCTCTCTCTCTCTCTCTCTCTCTCTCTCTCTCTCTGTGATAAGACTATTAGAGAACTAGGGCTACCAGAACAAAAACTAAGAAAGATTTTTAATTTAGAAATTTCATCATGCCCCCGGCGAAAGATGTCTTAGGTATTAAAAGACCTTGGAGGAAAACGGAAATATCTTGGGCCACTTTTCTAATGCTGAAAACTAATTCATTACATAGTCTTTGGCCCAATATGGTAATGATTTGGGCCTCACGTTCCTAACAATGCTTCCCGGTTGGGTAAGCACCTTGTCCTCAAGGGTGCCACATGTCGCTATTGGGATGGTGGTGGGTGGGGAGTCACGGATCAAAGGAGTACCCAAGGGTTGAGATTCAATTGTGTTTTCTATGGGTTTATCCAACGGTGTGGCATAAACCGCAAGTGGAGTGGACGTGCAAACAACTTTTGCTGTTCCCAAAGGCGTCTTGGTACATGTGGCAGGAGTTCCCGAGGCCATCACAACCGTTGATGAAGAATTGTGCGAAAGATCCACATTAGGAGTATAAGGAATTGGGCTCGGCTGTTCCATGTGAGAGGGAATAGTTTCGACTTCCGTTTCGCATGCACCCGAGAGTGAATCACTAACTGTGTCAAGCAAGTACGGCGGTGGTGGTCGGGACTGCGACTTTGGGTCTTCACCGATGAAAGGATGGAGCTTGGAGACATAGAAAACGGGGTGGATGCGCGAGCCCTCTGGTAACTCCAACGCATAAGCCACCATACCGATGCGGCTTTGAATCTTGAAGGGTCCATAAAATCTCTTCGAAAGCTTCTGGCTGGTTCGTCTATGAACGGAAGTTTGTCGATATGGTTGAAGACGGACCCACACCTAATCACCGGCAACGAAGCATGCATCCCGTCGGTGTTTATCTACCTCTAGCTTCATTCTCTGTCGTGCACGGTGAAGGTGATATTTCACAACTGATAAAATAGCTTTATGTTCGTGCAGGAGGGAGGACACTGTGGATACGGTGGGCGTGCCGGAAGGAAGAAGATTGAGAATATTGGGTGGTGGTCAACCATAGAACACATGAAAGGGAGAGGTGGCTAAACTGGAGTGCTTGTTGGTGTTGTACCAGAACTCAGCGATGTGGAGAAAGTGAAGCCATGAACGAGGGTTGTCACTCACAAAGCAGCGTAAAAAGCATTCTAGCGTCCGATTTAGGACCTCGGTCTGACCGTCAGTCTGTGGGTGGTAAGATGAACTATATTTGAGCTTAGTGCCTTGTGCTTTAAAAATCTCACGCCAAAATTGACTCAAAAAAATTGGATCTCTGTCTGAAATGGTGACTTTAGGAGGGCCATGCAACCGAAAAATCTCCTGCATAAATCGTTGAGCGAGTTGTTGGGCAGTGAAATGTGTAGGAAGAGCTACAAAATGACTGTATTTGCTCAAGCGATCGCATACCACCCAAATCACAGTATAGCCGTGCGAACTCGGTAAGGAGGTAATGAAATCCATGGTTATCTCCTCCCATACTTTGTTTGGAGTGGTAAGCAGTTGTAAAAGACCCCTTGGTTTCTGAGTTTCATATTTATTTTGTTGACAGATGGAACAACTCCTGATGAACCTGCGAAGATCAGCAGCCATAGTTGGCCAATGATAAGAGGCAGCCAAACGACTAAGACTAGCCTTAACACCAGAATGGCCTGCAACCGGAGTGGCATGGTATTCCTCCAACAATCGCTGTCTGAAATCCAACACCTCGGGGACGAAAAGCCGATTTTGAAAATACAAAAGGCCTTCACGCACGGTATACTTCTCCCCAAATTTTGTATCATTTGTGAATCTATGCATTGTGGCTTTTCCCTCTGGATCTAATGCAAAATACTTCCTCCATTGTTGTAAAAATGTGGGCACTGGAGATGACATAGCTAGGAGAACTGTATCCGGTGTGTCAGCTGGTCGAGACAATGCATCGGCAACCGTATTGTGACGTCCTGCCCTGTAATTGATTTGAAAATCGAACCCCAACAACTTGGTCAACCATTTTTGTTGGGCCGGTGTCTGGATCGATTGGGACATTAAGTGTTGAAGGCTCTATTGATCAGTAAGGATTATGAATTTTTGGCCAATTAAGTATTGTCTCCATTTCTTGACCGCTTCTATGATTGCATACATCTCTCGCACATAAACTGACTCACTCTGCATTCGTGTGCACAGCTTCTTGCTAAAGAAAGCCAAAGGATGATGGTCTTGTGTCAACACGGCCCCGACTGCGACCCCCGAAGCATCAGTCTCAAGCACAAAGGGTTTGGAAAAATCTGGCAATTGAAGAATAGGAGCAGTAGTAATTTGTTTTTTTAACACTGTAAAGGCCTGTTGAGCTTGAGTGGTCCATGTAAATGTGGCACATTTCAATAACTCGGTGAGAGGAGAGGCGATTCTAGCATAGTGGCGCACAAATC